AACAGAGGAAGAGGAAGGCCTCCTCTGCGTTGGAAAGACCAGGTGGAGAAGGACTTGGCTTCACTTGGCATTTTCAATTGGCGTCAGTTAGCACAGAAGAGAAATGACTGGCGTGCTGTTTTGGACTCGGCCAAAATCGCTTAGGCGGTTACAGCGCCAAATAAGAAGAAGAGAATATATAAGCTGACCAACCGTCGTCCTTTGAGGAGGATTGTCCTCCTCAAACGTGATTTGTCCTCTTCAAAAATATATTGTCCTTCTCTGTCCTCCTTTTGAGCAAAACTGTCCTCCTTGTCCTCATTTTCAAGTTTTATAGCAGTGATGAACTTTTCCGAAAATTTCGTTCAGAATATTATTATTCCATAATTGAACATAATCATTGTATTTAAAAGGAGTTTACATTGTTCAACATTCAGTTAAATGATGTAAACTTTTGATTCAACTAACCGCCTGTGAAAGTTGAACAGTACAAACGCCTTTTAGCCTTAATCAATAATATTTAATACGCCAATTACGTAGTTTGTCTGTATTGTCGGCCGCTGTGGTGTAGTAGTAAGCAGTGCGCGCTTCCACTCCGCAGCACCCGGGTTCAAACCCTGGTCAAAGCAACATCGCAAAAATATAGAAAAAAGATTTTTTCTTAACAGCGGTCGTCCGTCGGCAGGCAACGGCAAACCTCCGAGTGTATTTCTGCCATGGAAAACAGCTTCTCATAAAAATACAGTCGCCGTTCGGAGTTGGCGTAAAACTGTAGGTCCCTCCGCTTTGTGTGACAATATCAAGGCGCACGCCACAAGTCGGAGGAGAAGCTCGGCCAAACACTAACATATGTGTAAGCGCCAATCTATTATTAATTACGTAGTTTGCTCTCTCATTCGTAATTCGCACTCCAATTACCCTTGGAATTACGTACTTCGCCATACTAAATTTTGCGAGCGAATTACCTCATTTGTTGGTTATTCAGATCTAATTACCATGCGAATTACGAAGAAATCGCCGTCGTCTCTAATTTTTATCGGACATTTATCGAAACCAGTTCACAAATCAAAACTGGCATCTTTTACAAGTACGAAAAGGAATTATTTATATTTTGCATAAGTTTTGTAGCGAAGAAAAAAACAAAACACAGAGATAGATAACTATCAAATCGTATAAAGAATGTGCGCGTGGGAAAGGGGTAATTCGTGATCGTAATTGGAGGATCGAACAATGTAATTCCCGGTGTCGTAGGTAAGCCTTATTAACCTTTACACCACTGAAAGACTAGCTAACGACGCGTCTCCACAGGGGAAATTATTGCCTACCATATGTCATTTTGTTTGCCACATATGTATAAGTTTAATCAGTGGCAATATTTGAGTGTGGGGATATTTTATCTTGATAAAAGCGTAGAAAATGTGTTATTTCACTTCCAAGTACATAATCAAAAATAACACAGGCCTAACGGCGGATCCAGATTTAAAAGTTGTCGGTCGGCATTTGACATTTTCTATGTAAATAACATGTTTAAAAAAAATTGTTTTTATTAAAAATGTTATAATCTTTGAACCGTTAAGAAAATTTGTAAAAAAGGGATAAATGTTTTTCTTCGCATATTCTTGTAGGGCATTAAATTCTCTAAAAACTGGCCCTGAAGTTGGCTGTCTTAGAGGCGATTAAAAGTATTAAATATGTTAATATATTGCTGAACGTGGTATAGCGTTGATATACAATTATAATCGACCTTTGGCGAAAGACGAAGAACGAAAGCAATTTCTTTTGCAAGCATGTAATGCAATTACAATTAAATAATTTAATTTTAGCAGAAAACACAACCGACTTTAATTCTCATATACAAATTTAGGAGTACCGTTAATTTTTTCATGATCCTTAAAGATTTAATTTAGAATCGCTTCTCATTTTACTGAGTATGAATACCTGTGAAAGCATTTAAATAAAAAAAGCTAACAGAAAAAATGTTTAATTTTCTCTACAAGCAAGTATATTTAGTTCAAAAGCTCTTTACAATATACTAGCGAGTAATAGATATAACTCTAGCTGGGAAAAAAATTTCCCCACATTTTTCTTATCATCTTAAAATTTATTGCTCGTTGTTATTGATTAGTACGAGTCTGCATAACCTGGAAACCAAAGTCGATAATGATAAAAGTCTACCGTTTCGAGTTGTGTATATTCGCTGAAAAAATAGAAAAGTTTGTTTAGAAACTCATATTTAGAAAAGTGTTTTTATAAGTTAATATACCAAAAAAATTTAGCTTGATAACTATAAATTTCATATGAACTGAATACTGAAATATGGCTGAACAGCAGCGTCGAACAACCAACGAGCATATTTTGCGAACACAATTGGACGCCTGTGAGTTACTAATTATTTATTTACTATCGTATCTTTCGTATGCATGTGTGTGATATATAAAATATGTATGTACCCTGCAGGAAATGTATCTAACGATAAGTAAACCTTAAGTTGATTAGGAAGGAGCTAAAAGTCACTTATTATCTGTATATTTTCTTTGACGAAAGCTAACTATATTTCTATGGCGATGGCCGCGAAATAGTCAAGGGTGGTTTACCTCCGCATTAAATGTAGTTTCTGCATTTGATGTAACTAACTTGTAACTTGTCGGCCGCTGTGGTGTAGTGGTAAGCAGTGCGCGCTTTCACACATCAGCACCTGGGTTCAAGCCCTGGTCAAAGCAATATCCCAAAAAATATAGAAAAAGGTTTTTTCTAAACAGCGGTCGTCCCTCGGCAGGCAATGGCAAACCTCCGAGTGTATTTCTGCCATGAAAAAAACAGCTTCTCATAAAAATACAATCGCCGTTCGGAGTCGGCGTAAAACTGTAGGTCCCTCCGCTTTGTGTGACAACATCAAGGCGCACGACACAAGTCGGAGGAGAAGCTCGGCCAAACACTAACATATGTGTAAGCGCCAATCTAATAAAAATAATAATAATAATAAAACTTGTAACTAACTACTTTTGGACATAAAATATCAATAGGAAAAACAAAATATTATTATTTAATTTTTTTATTTTTATTTACTTTATTTATTTTATCACATTTCATATTTGTTTCCATATTCTGCTGTAGGTGGTCCCATATTCGAACTCCGTCAGACATAGCTTCAAAATGATAAAACGAAATTTCGATCTACCTTTTATTAGTCCTCAGTTCGAAAAAGTATTTGCGAAGTGCAGGATATTTAAATAGAAATGCGTTTAAAGAAAACAATCTCCTCATTACTCCTGCATTACTTGTCAACTATTTTCAAATTAGCTTTTTGTAGCTAACTAAATTAATTAATAATAAATTTTATAGAAATCCCGCAAAAAGCTAACTACAAGTGGGTTATTTTTTATCAATTGTCAATTTTTTCTGCAGGGTAAGGTAAGGTATGATGCACTGCAGTGAGAATTGTAATATCGTTATGAAAGTTAAGTATTCTTCTAAAGTTAAGATTGTAGATAACTTAATTTTCGAGCTAAAAGTTAGCGGTAAATTAAAATAAATAAAATTTAACTTTGCTTTGGGCCTGTTTGGTAATCAGAGTACCTGTTTGTTTTTTTTTTCATAATTAGTTGACGCTAGAATACAATAAAGAACATTATGCCCATATGCCAAATGGCTAAACTAAGTTAGTTGGAGTTGGAGAAACCAGCCCATAGTTTCTGATATTAAGCGCATTATAAATGTTTAGGTGCATTCTGATCAGGGAAGGATCAGGAAATTACGTAAAACTCCCCACACATAGATATTTCCCTATTTACAAAAATAAAAAAAAACACAAAAATTTAATGCATTTTGATATATTGCTGGTCTTTCTGTTTATTTTATTTTAAGTGTAATCCATCTTTGTATTCATAAACTAAACCAAACTTTTATAAAGTTAGTTAACAAATAAATAATAAAAAATCTTTATATAAAATTTACGTATGCAATTACAGTGGTCAAAATGGCTGATCCAATATGGCGGACCACTTTTTTTAAATTATAGTTTGTTATGAAACTTGGTTTTTAGAGATCCTCCTTATCTTTGATTACGAAATTAAAATACATTGCGTTAAAAGTAAATCGCCTATTGTTCGGGACGCCATATTTGATCCGCCATTTTGAATGTTTTAAAATATAATATCAATTTCGAAATCAGTGGCGACGAAAATCTGTGGATACCAAGCTTCTGGCAAGCCGTTTTTTGCCAGAGTCTATGTGAAATCTCACTAAAACATTTTAGCCGTTTTTAGCCGCTTTTTTTTGCCAATCTAGCCGGTCGGCCCAAAAAGTTCTGGCAACACTGCTGACTACGTGTAACATTCTACTTTTCATTCTCCAAAATGAAGCAATGAAGCGAAATAAAAAAAAATATTGTAGGACATTCTACTTTGCATTCCCTGAAATGAAGCAAAGAAGCGAAACAAATAAAATATTGAAGGACATTCTACTTTGCATTCCCCGAAATGAAGCAAAGAAGCGAATTAAAAATGAAATATTATAGGACATTCTACTTTGCATTCCCCGAAATAAACCCAAGAAGCGAAATAAATAAAATATTGTAGGACATTCTACTTTGCGTTACCGGCAATGCCTAAAAGAAACGAAAAAATTGTACCGCTATGCCTTCTAGAACACGTTACCACTAAAAGCGATTACCGATTTTTTGCTGGGTTTGTTCCGCCTTACTTCGCTCGGCGCCGCTCGACTTTCTGTGTGGACGCACCCTTAGAATTTTTTGCCGAAGCTTTAGCGGTTTTCTTCCATATGAAAATAAATTATATTTATTCGTTATATGAAAACAAATATGACAAACGAAATTATAAAAAAACAACGGTAATTTTTTGCCATTTGAAACTTTATTATACTAGAATTGAACGAACTGAAATTCCCGACTAAAAACGATCGTGGAACGTGGAACGAACAGTGGAAGTAAATTTAAGTTGAAATTATTTATTTCTTATTTATTTTATTATTTTACTATGGTAACCGTACTGCAAATTCGCTGAAAATTCGTATAATTCCGCTATTCGGCACTTAGGAATGAATAAATGCGGAAAATGGTAAAACTCAAAACGCTACCACGCCCACAGCTCTTGTGGGCGGAAATAGTAAATGTGGTTTTAACCATAAAATCATAAATCCGAAAGAACGTCAACATCGATTTACATTATTGTCTACAAATTATAGAAAAATAAGTGCAAATTAAAAAAAAAAAAATTTTTCTTATGAAATTCGGTGTGCCCTGCTTGTTTACGACAAAATTTTCCAACTTGGAAGTAAACGAAGAGTTTCTTATTATGGCGTCCACCTCCAACACAACGTTTTTTGCTCCAAGTACTAAATTTTATGAATTTTGGGGAAAATTAATAAACACTTTTATTTTATTTCTAAAGAAGTTCCTATTTCTTTCTTTTAAAAATGACAAAACGAAAACATATGTATTTGCACTGAAACTTTCAATTCTACCTAAATTTTATACAACAAAAGCTGAGGTAAGGCAAGCAGGTCTCTTGCCATCGAAACCGGATCTCGTGCAGAAAAGCGTCCATTTTTGGCTGAATGTTGAGTGTGATTAATAGAGTGGCGAGTCATTAATATCTATATTATATTACATATCAGAATCTTTTCCTTCAGCTACAATAAAAATTCAATAAATTGTACAGGAGGCGTGTCAAAAAAGTGACGAATAGAAGCTTAACTAGCAGTTCCTCATAGCTGGAACTATTTGAAATAATTCTACGGTGCCCATTCGTACCAATTTTGGCGGGACAGTGCCGATTTTGGGAAAGTTTTCCCTCTGAATATTTTTTAAGAGTCGGGACGTATAAGTGTCCTGATTTTTCATATTTGTACTGATTAAGTCCCGATTTTCAGTGTTTTCTTTATTAATTTAATAAGTGTGTGCGTGTACTCTGGCCCAGAAACAATTTTTCATACAAACGTGGCAGCAATTTCTTTATCAAAAAGGCATATTTAGAATATAAGGAAGCCATAAACATAGCCAGCATCCTTATTTTCTTTGATCTTTGGTTATGTTTTATTCTGTCAAGCAGATACTTTCGCTATATTGTAGTCTATCATTCTTGTCTAAATTTTTTTGAAGTTTTTATAGTTATTTAATAAGTTTTTTTTTTTTAATAAAACAATTCTAACTTCAATTTAGTGAAGTTATAAAAAATAATACTAATTCCCTCAACAAAAACATGGATACGAAATATATACGCTTAGTGTTCGTCCGATACCACCATTTACTCGATACCAGTACTCACTTTAGGACATCGAAGGGGGTACTCAGACGAAATATTTCAGTTTTGCAATTTTTTTAAAATAATTAAAACCATTTTTTATGTGTTACAAAGATATAATTTAATGCAAAAAGGCTTTTTAATATGAAAATATATGCTTAGTTTTAATATATACATACATATAGGTAAAACATATTCTCGCAACTTTTATATGTTAGTTACAAAGATATAATTTAATGCAAAAAGGCTTTTTAATATGAAAATATATGCTTAGTTTTAATATATACATACATATAGGTAAAACATATTCTCGCAACTTTTATATGTTAGTTACAAAGATATAATTTAATTTAGAAATGGCTAATTTAATTCAGAAATGGCTTTTTGAATATGACATAACATAAATCATACCATAGCCATACATATAAATGGATCATATGCATAAAAATTAAGAATTACTTTTACTTAAAATTTCATACCTTTCACTTAAATTTATTTGAACAAATCGAGTAAAAGGTTTTAAATTTTAAGTAGAAGCATTTATGCATACGGCCCAATGTGTTTTCAAATTTTGAGTTTGAATCTTGCACAATGGTGGGTACCAAGTCCTTGGTCACATGTATCGAAGTACAAAAAATACTCGGTACTTGGTAGAGATACTCAAGTATTTACTCATATGTACTCGTATCGGAACATCACTATATAAGCTTCAGATACAGTTGCAAAAATATAAAGAGAGAATAGAAATTTTAGCATTCTTTGGCTATTCCTCTTTCGATTATTTAATGTTTATTAGTTTTTTTATGAAAGTGTGGCTCGTTATCTAATAAAGACCATGTAAGTAAGTAAAAATTTCAAACTTTGTACAAAAGTTAGCAAAATTCGACAAAGTTTCATCGAACTTTTGAACATTCTGAGTATGAAGTTTTATAGCCCATTCAATTCAAAGTTCAAATTTTAAATATGTAGCTAGGACTTACCGTTGATTTTTGGTATTTTTTTTTGTGGAGGGTGTTGATCATTTTCTCCACATAAAAAATTTGTTGGGTATACTTTGTATGGAAGAAAAAGAACGAACAAAAAAATTGCCAAAAATCAACGGTAAGTCTTAGCTACTTCAAATTTCAAATGGGTTACAAAACTGCATACTCAAAATAATTATGGAATATCTGATTAAATAGTTTAACATATTTATCAACATTTCTTACAATTCGTCGGATGTTTATAAATGTTCTACAAAGTTTTAAATTTTTATTACCTGTTTTTTTTTAAGATAGTAAATAGATTTTCATAAAAAAATAGTAAACATTTTTTAAAACAAAGGTATGTCGTAGAGATGAGCGCGGGACTAAATATTCAACCACGATCCCGCGGATCCCGTGGGTCCCAAAATTTATCACTTAGATTAATTCACATGTATCAACTTAATTTTAAATAATAAAATATATATAAATAATGAAAGATCTGGCATCTTTGGATATTTTTTATTTTTTATTTTTGCTTTATTGTTCGTTTTCATCCCAACAAATCAGTGCTTATTTCATTAAACGTTGTTAAGGAAATTTTTCTGATTTTTCGGAGGTTGCAAGTTATATCGGGGGTGTTGGGAAAGAATTTTGGTTCCCGATTTTAAAATCAGTACCGTGCATTCCGAACATTCATTTTCGCCACCGTATATATTGTGTGCATACATTTTTTCGAATTTTTTTCTCTTTATTTTGTTTTAAATGAAACTGTATTAAAAGATGATATTTTTTTTTTTCTAAAAACAAAATTGTATATTCGGATTCGATGTTTCAGAAATGTTCTGATTTTTGGCCATAGAAATCTGGATTTTTACTTATATATCCTCACAAGTGGAAAAATAAATTCACTACTTTCGGCCGCTGTAGTCCCACTGTGCGGAGCTGCCTCCACTACTGCGGCTAGTTCTGCCTGAAAAACACTACAGTGGTCGGTCAGATGAACACTCTTTTTTAGCCTGAAACAATCAGTACAGATTGTCGTCGACTCTAAATCTAGGTCGGTGGTTCCTTATCATGCGTTATTTTTTGGTATTCGTATGAAGAATGCGTTTTCTGAACAGATAGATCTGGTAGCTACCTTTTCAGATGCCCAGACCGCGAGATTGAAAAATAAAATTATATTTTTGTCACTTGTTGGTTTTAATTATTTCTTAACAAAACTTTAGATTACTTAACAAACAATTCTTTAACCCTGGAAGGTCATGCTTATTTTGACAATTTTTACTTTCGGCCTATGTATGTCAAAACATCGAAGATTTACTAAACAACAATATAATAAAATTGAGTATGTCTAGTTTTTAATTACAATGATTTTAAATCACATTATATGCAAAATTTGGTTGCAAACGAAGCATGAGTTTCCAGGGTTAAATGCACAAAAGTACCTTTTCTAAAGCGCCCTCCATGCAACAATATATGCTAGATGTACACGAATACTACATACAAATGTATGCATGTAAGTTTCTTTGGAGTAAAAATCAAATTTTCGCATGAAAAAATTAATCTATAAAAATTCCAATCTGGCAATCCCGTAAATAGAGGAGTAGAGTAGTACATATGTATTGCAATTAGTTCGAAGTTTACCGTAAGGGCTTATGGTATAGATAGATACCCGTAGAAAGCTCAAAATTATTTGCAGAGTAGTAGCTCCCGTAACCAACTGTTGCACCCGTAGAAAAGGATGTTTTGTATCATAGCTGTATACATTCAATGTCGGATATATGGTTTTGAACTTTCGGGAGCGGATTTAACTTTCTAAGAGATGTCAACCCCTTTTCAAAATATTTCCAAAAAAACTTCATAAATCTCTTTCGTTTGTCACCCATATTGTAATACTATATTAAACTTAAATTAAGTTTGTAGATATGTTGCGATCCTCTTAAAAATTTTTTCGTAACAAAGCCTTTTTGAACCTTGTTCGTTTAGCTTCGATGTTGCTGCATTTGGTTGAACTTACAATTTATTTTTCTTACCCTTTCAGCATAAAAAAATCAGCCGTTCAAGTTAAAAACTTGAAAATTTGTATACTGGCTAATTTTGGGTCGTTGATATTAAAAATACAATACAGGTTTGTAAAATGGGAAGTGATTTTTTTTTATTTCGCGATTTATATTTCAAAACCACGATTAAAGGCGAACCTCCATAGCATGCGAATCCGTATGCTAGCGTATTACATTTACGCTTGGAAGTCAAGATTCATCCAATTTCCATGCGTTGATATGTAGTTGCGTGCTGCCACAAAAATTTGTATATTTCTTTTTCTGTCAAACGCACGAATACGTAAAAAAAAGTAAATTTTTCCCTGTATTTTATACACTTCCCCATCGAACTTGTGACATTTTTCACTTTTGTTAAATAAACTGCATCCACAAAATACAATTAAAGAAAGGGATGAAGAAGAATGATATAATTTTTTCATAATGACTGTTCCTTTAACAACAAAAGCTCTTATTTACGAAAAAAGAGCTTTAAGTACAAAAAAGCATGTCCAATATATTGAACATTTGTACTAAAAAAGTTAAACAGGTAGCAGCCCTGTTCAAAAAAATATGCTAATAAAATATGTTAATCCAGGTCATAAGTTATAAGTGTGCCTAATTTTGTACAAACAAAGAGCGGAAAGCATACATACTCACTTACCAACTTTCACATTTATAGTATTTCATTCAACTTGTTAATTAAATTGATTTTAAACTTCTAAGCTGGTGGCAACCCTCGTCAAAAATAATTTTGTACTCGATTTAGCTTGCTTGCACCACCTCTCGTTTGATCCCCATATAAACTTTTTTTTATTTTATTTATTTTTTTTATGAATTTCGAAACAGGTGCCTCTTTAAATTATTTTTGCCATAAAACTTTCTTAAGTCTCTAATGTTTGATACCCATACCAGGTGAAGTAATCAGAGAGAGAAGAAAGATCTTGACACGGCCTTACTTGAAAAATGTCTTTTAAAATTTAACTATAAGGGTGCGTTCACACAGAAAGCCGAGTGGCAACGAGCGAAGCAAGGCGGAACAAAGCGAAGCTGCTGGTGTTCACACTGAACGAAGCGAAGCAGAGCTTTTCTCACGGACTCTGCTGCAAAGATACCACAAAACTTACCGTCAATGAGCGACAAAAATATTTGCTAAATTTTATTGTAAAACTCGTTTTTATTTGAATATTTCGATATGTTGTTTGCAGCAGCGTCAAGGAACATAAAAATTAAATAGAAAATTGAAAATTAAAAACTGCTTTGCTTTCAGCTCCAAAACGCTTATGAAAAAGCTTGCTGTATGAACATTTGCATATACATAGCTACAGCAATTTGAAAGCTTCGGTCAGCTCGGCTTCGATTTCTGTGTGAACGTACCCTAAGGCAGCCGAATATCAAAAAATATAGCGAGAAAGCTGTTTTATTATTTCACCTGTTTATAGCGCCATGGTACCCATAAAGAAATATTTCATTTACCTTGTTCATTTAACTGATTTACCGTAAAAGATGGACAGATCTTAACAGCCTTGTTAATACATACTTATCGTCGCTGTTTTTTGCAATAACCGCCAATCGACCAGCTGCAAAACCGCCTAAATGCCATTGTGACAAAAATTAGATTTGCTAACCCTGAACTCCAGGCATCGAGATTTATGCATAAGAATCGTAAAATCGTTATTAAAACAACAGATTTGTAAAATAATAGCAAGAGAAAATACCGCTTACCAAGGCAATGCCGTCAAAGAAAATCCGTTTTTTCGCTCTCTTGTAAAATTTGAGTGGCGTATGATAGGCGGTTTTGCAAAAACATCGACGATATGTACTATGTATAGTGTACACTAGGGTGGTCCAAAAATACTCGTGGAAAAGTAAAGTCGGAATTTTTATGCTCTCACCCCCTAGGATTGTTCTATACCGAAAAAAATTTATCCCAATTTTTTATTTCAAAATTAAAAAATATTTAGAGGTCGCTCAAAGCCCCAAAGTTTTCCATGTATTTTGTATGGGGAAAAAACAACTTTTCGTATAAATGGTATAGAATTCTTAAAAATAAATATTTTTCTATGAGAGAACTCAATTTGTCTTCTGCAGATTCCCAATAATAATACTCAAATTTTTATTTACCATTTTTTCATCGCAACTTTAATTTATAGGTCCGCCAATAACCCACAAAAACCCCGAAGAATTCAATGGGTGGACCAATAAAAAATCGTTAGTATTAAAAAATGGTTAAATGAACAATTGGGTCTTATTACTGAAAGTTTCCTGAAGGGAACCAGAGTTTTCCGATCGAAAAATATTGGTTTTCAAGAATTCTATACCATTTCAACGAAAAGTTGTTTTTTCCCCATATAAAAATACATGGAAAACTTTAAGCGCTTTGAGCGACCTCTAAATATTTTTTGATTTCAAAATAAAAAAATAGAGGTATATTTTTTTTCGATATAGAACAATCCTAGGGGGTGAGAGCATTACAATTCCGAGTTTACTGTTTTTGGACCACCCTAGTGTACACATTAGCAATGGCTGCTACTGACCCACGTATAGCTAGAAACTTACCAATAGATTGTCATCATTGCCACTGAAAAACAAAAACTTTTCAGGTAAAGTTCTATTTTACTTATTCCAGTAACTGCGCAAAACACCCGCCTACAGGAGGAGAATAATTTACTTCGCCAAAAGCTAACGCGAATCACAGGCGATCATCGGTCTACAGCCGCAATTAATGTCGAAGCAAAAATTGAGGCACTCAGACTTGAAGATGAACGCGATCAAATGTATGACAATCTGGAGCGACTAAAAAAGAAATATAATAAATTACACGCGGCCTATTTGGAGAAGGTACAGCGCTGCAAAGCTTTAGAAGATACCTTCAAGCGGCAAAAAACGTTGTCAGGTTTGGTTTCGAAGACAGCATTAAATCAACGCGTACAAGGTGTGTATAGTATAGAAATATATACATACATGTACATATGTAAGAAAACATCCCTGAAGGAAAAATTGGTCCAATTGCTCGAAAAATATATTCCTAGGTATAGTAGTTTTTTATCTAGACCAAAGATAGTCCAAAAATGTAAAGCAATGTAAAGTAAAACAGGTGAATTGTACTAAAAGTGGTCCGAATGTAATGCATAAGGTGTGCATTTTGTTATAAAATTGGTTACAATGTCACGCAGTCAACGAATTTTCATGTGCGGCGTTGGCATGTAGAGAGAGTATTCGCTTAGAAAATCTGAGACCCCTGGTTCGAATCGCATGTTTTATTTTTGTTTTTTTTTTTCCAAAAATTGGTTACAATGTAATGCAGAAGCGGACAAATTGGTCCGAGCCTAAGGACGTTCAATGTTAAATGTAAGTAGAATTTTACATGTTCTTCGACCAAACTTTGGACTACTTATGTACAATCAATTGCAGTCTAGTTTGTGGTCTAAGTCTATTCCGAGATCCTACAGGGATGTGTTTACATACACATGTATACATATATGTACTCGTATGTAAGCATGTTGTTTAATCGAATATGCATTATGCAGAGTTGGCAGCGAAGACTGAAACGGTAAATCTGGAAAAGCAGGTGGCCAAACTACAAACGGCGCTGGACGAAGCGTATGATATAATTGATGAACTTGAATTTGAACTAGAAAGTGTATGTACATATATCGCTCTTCTTTTTCTAGTAAACCACTTTCCTTACTTAAATTTCACAAACTAACTCTTTCTCCCGCTTGCCGCCTAGATCGACTATCTGGAGCAGGAAAATCAACGCATGCGCAACGAGTTGTTTTCTTTGAAGTCCAATCGGCCGGCTATTTTGCAACCAGCTGAAAATTTGGCTATCAATGCGGTGCCGCCACCCGACTACGATGATCCTCCACCAAGTTATGACGCAGATGTCGCTGACGGTGCTAGTGGCATGATAAGAAATGCGCTCCGTCTATCGAATGCATCTTCTTCTAACGAATCCCTACCCCATGATGATGCGGATAGTGAAACGCTAGAACGAGCTGCCATGACACACACCGTAAGTGTGGTGGAACAGATTATAACCCACTCATATTTCAATTTTACAGTTGATCGAGAATGCTGCAGTCGAAAGTAGTCAATTGCGTCGGGAGCTATTAAAATGTCGTCTGCAAAATACGTGTCGTCCAAAGTGACCTGAATTTCTATAGATTTTAAATTTCTATAATTTTGTGGTTCCCAGTACGAAATATTTTGCAAGCCTTTATTAAGTTTCATCTGTTTGTAATCAAATCTTGTAATAAATGTTTATCCAACTTCCCGATTAGCTATAGATTTGAAACTTTAAATTTAGCTTTGCTTAGATCTTTAAACGAATGCTGGCCTTCTTCCGAAGTTTTTGCCGAGCCGGACCTTTTTGCTATCTAGATTTATTTTATGTATTCTAGTTTAAAATTTCAAAAAAATGTGGTATTTCAACTTTTTCTTAAAATCAGCTGACTTTCAGTTGAGAACTTCGGAATTTGAAATTGTAATTAAGGAATATGCATAAGTATGTTCGTATAAAAGAGTTCTTGGAGGTTCTGATATTTTTCAACATTTCTCCACCAACGGTCACATAAAAAACTCACTTGGCGAGAACGCAAACAAATTGTTGTGTTTAATTGACAACATCAGGACGGCCGCTGTTGCTGACCGCTAAGAGGTGCGCACTACCACTGCATAGGACTTGTGTTCGATCCCTGGTCCGTACTAATTCTAAAAAAAAAAAAAAAAATATTCCTTACAGCGGTCGACCCTCGGCACGAAATTGCAAAACTCCCAGGAGAAGCTGGGCCAAATACATAGCAAGTTAGAGCCAAAATATTATTATTGTATTATTAAAGTTAATGTAAACAAATATATTTCCTACATAACAATAACAATGCGCAGAAACTGAACTTTGACTACTTACTATTTTAAGAAAATGATCAGCCCAATGCTTATTACCCCCGGGGAGTTAACTCCCAGGGAGTAGCATTTTCCCGAAAACTTTGGAGGAGGAAATTCGAGCTTCGGAAAAGCTGTTTGACACTTTTTTTTGAGCTCAACTCCGCCATTTAATACAAAAAAAAGCCCTTTTTATTCATGATAGGAGGAACGGGAAAAGAGAGAAAGCTCCCACGGAGTTTCTGTTCAGAATCGGCTTGGTTATATTTGTTAATACACAAGAGATAAATGCGTTTTTATTTATTTTGGATTTTATAAAAAGGCAAGGTGGGAATTAATCTATGGAAAAATCGATTTACTTAATTTTAAAGTAAATCATCGGCTTCTGCTTCGGTGATCGGCCGATTGTTAGATCAAAACCGAACGTTCGGTTCAACTTCAGCTTCGGCCGAAAAATCTACCTTCGTTCGAACTCTAGTCGAGATATTAAAAAATTACTACTACATAGATGAAATTAATTCCACAAACCTTGACTCATAGGTGGCGCATGAGTCAAGATATTTAGAAAATCCGTATTATGGCTTGATCGATTTCATATTTAAAACGTATATTACTTAAATACAAAGAAATAACTCCACCAAAAAGTTTTCCTTTCGGTGGTGCAAGGTCGATTTTCGTTTTTTTTTTGTTTTACTAACCACCAAACAGTAAAGTTTTATCTTTTTTTTATGTTGTTAATGAGCTTTGTACCACGATTATGTTTATTAGGAAATTCAATATTTTTCGTTTTTGATATCGAAGTGGAAGATCGAATTTCGAAAACACCCTATCTCAGAAAATTTTTCAAGAACGACCCATCTCACAATTTTATTGAAGAACGCTTTGTTTGAGAATTCGGTTCAAAAACGCCCTATCTCATCTGCCGCTTCAAAAACGTCCTATAACAACATATTTTCAAACATTTTCAGTTGAGATTGGAAATGGTGAAAAACAATATTAATCAAACTTTCAAACTCTTTACAGATATTAGAAAAATTCAACAAACCTTATCTAAATTTCGAGCTTCTTAACCAGAATTTTTATAAATTTTTTGGGTATGCAGTTAATAAGCTTATAAAATGTTTGTAAAATCGCTTTGATTTTTAATAAATATATTTTTTTCGCTGACGGTTTTTGCGGGTTTTTTCATATAAATAGCAGAATTTGCGAAAAATGGCGTTGCCTTTTTTATTTTTTTCGCAAACGGTCTTCCAGAAGAAATTCGTGTATATATGGAAAAAAGTGCAAAACGCCGTCAAAAAAAAAATAAAAAAATTAAAAATCAATGCGCATTAAAAACGAAACACAATTCTTTCATTTTTGACCGCCCTGTATATCTAGATATGTAATTTATTTTAATTTAATTAATTTTAATTTTTCGATGATGATTTTATTATATTTTGTTATATTTAATGTATTTTATTTTATATTTTCAATCTACTGTTTTTCCATACCAAATCCCCCCATGCCATATTTAAACGAGAGCATATTTTTGTTTTCATTTCTTGCCTTGGCGACCCAATTTCGAACGAGTTATCAAACACGAGAACGAGATACTCCACTTAAATATTGCACGACTCTAAAGTAAACACGCTAAATAAAATAATTTCGATGATTAAATTTTGCTTAGCATTTCAACTAAATACGACTTAAAATTAACAAACGCATAGAAAAATGCAATAAAATAGAAGAAAAATTGAGTGATAACACGAAATTGCCGCCACGAGCCACAAACTAAGTAAGTACTGTCAATGCCTGCAACCAGGGGCACGAGTGGGGATTGCATGTAGAGTAGTTGCCTACGTTAGTATATGTATGTAGCATAATGCGTATGTTCGCTTGAATGTATGTAGGTATGTACATATACGCACGTGTTGGCTGACAAATATCGCGTGGTTTCTTTTAGTGTCCTTTTTGTTTTCCCATTGGAGCGTTCGATGCATAGACTGCTGTGCTGCGTAGGCAGCAAGTTAGTCTAGTCTATTCTACTAAGATAAATAGTCAGCATTGGGCGGCTGCCAGTTTCTGAACTCTCCCGCAGACGGCATGAATACGACATTTTTCCCAAGTACTCATACATACTATATACATACATACATATGTATCTATATACATACATCCTTACATGCAGGCATGAGTGTAAATATTGTATTTATTTGTTTTACCGTCTTAATTGCTTAATCGTCTCGGCGACGAATTTGACAGTTGATTTGAATTTCGTACAAAAATTTGTCTCAAACGAATTAGCAAATATCTCTTTAAGTAAATTACCAAATATGCAGTGCTAAAAAAATAAACTAGGCTACTTATGTATATGCAAATATGGTATAATCGTATAAATTTATGCATACATTTTTGGTAATTGCTGCAATTTTAAGTGTAAAATTTTGATTCGTATAAAAAATTAAAATTTCAAGTAACTAATAAGTTTTTTTTTTTTTTTTTGACAAACCAAAAAATTTGAACGTGGTGTTTGTCCGTTTCAGCAAAATGCGACATTCTATCAAATAACACAAATTTTGCATGCCAAGAATGCCTTGTTTACTTTTACCTCAACACCATTTTCGATGACCTGAAAGAGATTAATTAGTTAAAGATATGGACATAGTGGGACATGAAAACATCGCATAAGATTTTTCCAGAGACATAACTATTGTAAGAAAAGGAATAAAAGTCAATCAATAATCTTTATGTTAAGATAAATATTTTTCGAGTCATCTATAATTATTATTCAAGGACGTATATTATAAAAGTCCTTTCATAATAATTATCAGCGAGATAAATCATCATTATATAAATAGGCAATCATGTTTCCTTTACACCCCTTTTACGGCTAAACTATACTTCTAAGGTATAAACAATTATATATCATTAGAAAGGTATTTTGATGCTGATGTGCAGGCAATTTTTCAAATTTCAAATTAGTTTAAAATAGAGCGAAAAAATCAATTCAAAAGTCACACCAATACCAATGCCATACATGTACATGGTTGGGGCGGAAATGCCTCCTAAATGTATGCTTTAATATTGATAGCGAATTAAAGAAACGTGCTAAGCAGCAGTTTAGGAATAAGATGTATGTATGTATGTACATGAATAGATTAGCCTCAAACAACGATGAAGATAATTTTGAGTATGGAGGAGAAGAAAGGGATAAATACAGAAATTAAAATAAAAGTAAAGAAACCTAGATATAAAGACAAAGAGGAAGGAAAATTTAAATACCTAACCTAATAACAATGGTGGGGGTGAATATGTAAATGAAAAGAATGGACATATTTAGATCAGGATAAAGGAAAAGATAAAGATGAAGACCAAGACGACGAAGATGAAGATGAAGATGAAGATGAAGATGAAGATGAAGATGAAGATGAAGATGAAGATGAAGATGAAGATGAAGATGAAG